GGAATGCATCACCTAACGATGATGCTAGCGAATTCGTTGCAAGAAAAGCATGTAGACATTCCTGGAGATGGACAGGTTCAAGGCCGCTGAGGCCTTTTCCGGGAGTCTGTAGTCATCAGAGATCCAAACCTGAGAGGTTGCATCCGCGGGGTCCTCCGGCCAAAAAGCGCGGTAGTGCCCAGAAGCAAGGGAGTCCCCAAAGTGGGCAACTCCTGCTATGACCTGATAGAGACGCTGGGTTCGAGCATCGCTTGAGGTCCATACGGGCACCGTGGTGCGGCCTGACCAAAGGCATGGCTGAGTGTTCTTGACTCCATCCTGCCAGCGGCAAATCACAATTGCTAGGAGTTCAGGTGACCAGACAAGCGCACGGGAAAAGGTCTGGGATTCCCACAGCCGTAAGCAAGTCGATAGTGACAAAGGGCCAGACGGGAGGGGAAGGAGGAGAGGGCTGACTCCTACGTCTGAATCCTCAACTGCACCATCTGTACGACCCTGCCACTGTGTTTGTTGAAGGGAGCCTAAAGGCTTGGACTGCATATGTAGAAGCAGCTCTGAAACGTCATGCTGTCTGCCGTCCAGTCGCCAGCCTGAAATAGCATGGCGAAATTCAAACAGGCCGAACAGGTTCAGTAATCTGGGGGCTCGCTCGTCTCCTAGATGGGACAGGACGGACTGGAGAGCACCTAGATCGTACCCAAAGCTCGAGATCTGATGCAGAGCCTGGAACAGGGCATTAGCGTAACACGAGTTTGACGTGTTAGTCAGAGCGCGCTTGTGCACTCCTTCGGGTCGCATTGCCGCCTGTCCAGAGGACTGCGAAATGGACTCCTGCTTGTCTGTCGGGGGTTGACGAGCTGTGCTCGACTGATTGGAGGCTGTGCCATTCGACCGTGACTTAAAGAAGTGGGCCAGTGACTTCTCTTGGGGCTTGGAGGGGGGAGCAGTAGCAGCTTCCTCCACCTCCGGTTGCCCTCGCAGCCACTGTGTGCTAACCTGATAAAGCACGGGGCATTGCTCCGGGTGCAGTCTGCGATCGTAGACCTTGTAACCGCAGAATGAGCACGGGTGTCCCTTGGCAAGGTGAGGCGAGAAACCCTGACATATAGAGACTGCGCGCTTGTGCAGCCTTGACCAGTCCTTAGGATGCGCCTGACGGAAGTGTGACTTGACTTTAGTGTGATCGAAAGTCCAGAAGTCACACGTGAGGCACCGATGGATCAGGACCCGGGCCTCCGCTGTCTTTGAGAGCACCGCTATTCGATGTTGTGGGAGTTGGGCAATGTCCTGTCGCAGCTGAGAAAGGGTCCTTACCTCAGGATGACTTGAGTGTTTGTCAGTCGCGTTCAGAGTTCGAAGCTTCTGGGGTTCCGGGCATGCTCCTGACAACAAGTGGTCACGAAGACCTTTCCATTGATGAAATTTGCGCATGCAAGCGGCGCATTGCGGCATCCCATCCACCGCGTGGAGTTGTCGATCGAAGCTTGATGGCACAAATCGGTCAATGCTGGCTGGATGCACTCGCGACTTGTGTAAATGTAACCCGTTTGCTGTCTCGAAAGAGGCATCGCAGAGTGTGCACGCATGTAGGGCTACAGGGTGTTCAGCTGCTTCAGGGAGTTGTGATAGGAAATACAGCTTGTCCCGGATGACTTGCAAAACAGAAGGCTCGGTTGTGATATCTGGGCTTCTGGCTGCGCGTCGCTCAAGTTTGCGGAGTCTCTTCCTGAGCTTGACCTGCATCGCTTGAACCGGGTCCTGAATGCTATAAAGCTGGAAGAGATCCTTAGTGGTGATGCGGCTGGTATGTGCTGGCAAGTTCAGCACTGATCGCACCTTGTAAGCATGCCAACTGCGTAGCTGCTTTGCCGACTCCTCGCTGAGTCCGACGTCTGAGAGGCCTGTCGTCAGTGTGCTCAGGACTGTGCTTTGCCAAACCTTGAGTCTCGACATGGTGCTCGCATACCGGCGATTGTAGACAAATTGGCGGACTTGATGCAGCTTTTGCTTTGCTTCCCCTATGCGGTAATGCAAGGACTGCAGCTCGAAGTGGTTGTAGGAGATCATAACCCCCAGGTACTTGCTACAGGAGACCCACTGGAAGGCGGGGAACGATTTATTGGGCCCGATGCGCCATCCGCGAACCTGCTCGCCCTTGGAATTTATGATCCAGCAGCCGTGTTTGTTCATCACGTTTTGGGATTCTCTACCCGCTAACTTCACCAAGATGACGCACTTGCTAACGTTGACTCGTAGGCGGTGTTTGCGGACCTCCTCAAGTAGCGCTGCGATGAGCGCATGAATGGCCCTGAGGTCCTTGTCAGAGCGGATAGTCCGATGGAGCGTGAGATCATCGGCATATCCTGTCAGGAATTTCAAGACCTGCTCAGCACCGAAAAGGTCAACCAGAGAGCGGAAAAGGTCACCTGTAAGGAACGAGAAGAGCGTGGGGGCGAGCTTACATCCTTGTTTAATGCCTGCTGTGGTTTCAACAGAGGTGGAATCTCCCTGCGCGTGAAGGACATAACGAGACCCGTCATGTAAAGCCTGAACGAGGTGGACTGTGTCCTGATCTGCCCCTTCTCTCTGAAGAAGGTCGATGATCTCTTGGCGAGAGACTGTGTCAAACGCTTGGCTGAGGTCAAGAGCAAAGGTGAGGCCGCCGACTAAGGCTGGGGCCTGTGTGCCTTGTTGCAAGGCATGTCTCGTGGGGTGGGCCTGTTCTAACAGGGATCGAGCCTCACGCAAGTGATGCACCACGCGTTCTAGCGCGTCTGACAGCCCCCGACCTGGTAGATAAGCGAACTGTGGCATGTGCTTGAGGAACGAGAGGGTCAGTGGTTGAAGCGCTTCTCTGGCCGCTCCCGCCAGTCCCTTAGCGTCAGGTCTAAGGATACCCAAGGGTCTCAAGTTTGCTGGTTTGTCAGAGGGCTTGCCCGGCTTGGGAATTAAGCAGAGATCAGCGTCTACGAGGTCGGATTCTAGACTGTCCTCGGCCTGCTTGGATGCTACGTGTTTGGAGAGGACCGGTGCAACGATGTCGCTACACAGTCTCCATACAGCCGCAGGTGCCGCTCCGTCAGGAACAGCTTTATTAGGCTTGATGGAATGTATGTGAGCTGCTAGTTTGGGCGGCTCCAAAGCAGGGAAAGCTCCATGCATTGTCCGTAACGGAGGGTGGGCCGCAAATACCTGATTGGCATAGTCCCTGAGGGCTGCTAGCTCCTGCGCTGGACCTAGCAAATGTCCTGTGTTGTCCTTTAGCTGAGCTCTGCGCGCAGGCTGCCAAGGCTGCAGCTTTTTGAGGGTCTGAAAGGAGATATGTTGGTCACCTTCAGCCAGACTCGCGTCCACCTCCGATATGAAACTCGCAATTCGATCTTTCTTTGCTTGTTTCACAGCCTGGCGGTGTGCCACTTGCGCCAGCTCAGCTTCGGTGTCCGGCGGACGTGGCGTGTTCTGATTAGGAGGCTGTGCCATTGCTTTAGGTGACTCGATCAGCTGTGCTGAGGGAGTGGTGTTCGCAACCCTATCGTGGGTGCGGGCCCGCCACATGCGACGGGTTTCCAATTCCAGCGGGATCGGTCTTCGTTTGGGAATTTTTGGGAAAAAGCGTTCTGCACCTTCCAAAAGCAACGCATTCCATGCCTTGGGGTCGCCAGGTGTTAAGGGCAACCAAACGCAACCTGAGCAGCAGATTAAACAAGTTGGATTCGTCAGGGCGGTCCTCAGTGGGTGGCTTCACGTGCGGTCCCACCAATGGAGAGCTCGGACGCAGGGAAGTGTTAAAATCGCCTGCTACAATAAGGGAGTCCCTCTTAGGCACCTGCTTGATCACCTTGGACATGACAGATAGTACCTTAGCACGGTCGTCCTTATTGGACTGGATGGTCTTGGCAGAAGACCAAGCGTGTTGGTACACCGCGACGACAACCAGCCGAGTACCTGCAATGTCTGCACGAGCTTCTAAGACCCTACCCGGGCTCCACTCCTTCCAGCGTAAGCTCTTGGGGACGAACTTGGGAGAGAATAGGATCATGACTCCATCAGCGCGAGTCGTGGATGGAGCTCGCGGTTCTTGCCGAGTGTTACGCTTCGCAGCTTGTTTAGGCCGGGTGTTGGGTTTGGTAGACTCCGAGGCTGAGGAGATACAGTACCACCCAGAAACGCTGAATTCACTGGTCTCAGTCCAGTGCGTTTCCTGCAATATGAGGACGTCGCAGTGATGAGAGGCTTCAGCTGCTAGCCACGTTTTGAGTTCGCCCCATTGCTGTTGGCCTAGGTGGCCCGCGTTCCACGAAATAACTCGAATGGATCTTTCCAACCTTCCTGCCCTGCGGGAGGCTGTGCCATATGCAGGGGAGTCAGCAGTCTGTGACTGAAGCTCTCTTCGAGTGGGTGGGGGGCGTACCCCCAGACGATCAACCAGGGTAGGTGTCAGAACCTGCCCTCGGTATGGTACGGGCCCGTCACTACGGACTGTCCTTCTACATGCTGTCTTGAACGAATTCTTACGAAGAGATGCAAAGTTTTGTGAGTGCACTGGCAATTGCGCCATCCGCTACTTTCGTCAAGAGACAGAAGCCTAATGACTCCCTCCACCGCGCGGAGGTGGAAACCCTACCGCCTACCCAGTGTTGCAATGTTTTAAACAGAGTCTGGGCCCAGGAATTGGGACCTGGCGGCTCAAAGCAGCTCCTGTGAGAAAAGGGAGAGGACCATGGCGTAGAAGGAGGCACAAACCTTTACTGTTCAGAAAAGGGCCCGGTTGGAACCTCTAGCACAGCAGTTGCGCCCCAAGCCTGTTCGAAACCTCTCAATCAGCGCGGCCGCTTGAGCACTTGTGGCGGCTATGACGACTACTACTACTACTACTACTACTACTACTGCTACTACTACTACTACTACTACTACGACTACCACTACTACCAGTATATACCAGCACAACTGCCAGCACTGCCAGCAGCTGCACTCGAAATGCAGTGACACTACGCCAGTGCCTGATTGAAGTCCATACCTCGAAGGCTGCTTGTAAGGGGTTAGGGGTTTAGGATTTAGGGTTTAGGGGGTCTTCCCAGTCAGGGCTCTATGAAGGCCCTATGAGGGATTTATACTTCGAGGATCATGGAACTTAGTAAGTATGGTTGTAAGTACCTTCAGTGAGGTTATATGTAACCATAAGTATGGTTACCTTACTTATAAGCGTAGACACTAAGTCCCATGATCCTCGAAGTAGGCCCTATGAGGGATTTATAGATGCTTTTGTAAGGGGATTTTTGGACGTTTACGTGGGCCGTGGCATGGTGAGATGGTGGGTACTTAGAGGATCATGGGACTTAGTAAGTAGGTTATAGTTGGGGTTATAAGTCCCCTAAGTGGGATTATCCTAATTATAACCTACTTATAACCTTACTTACTAAGTCCCATGAGCCTTTAAGTAGCATGACAGCAGCAGTCTTCGAAATCGATGCTACGGGCTGCGCGGCTCAACCGATGCCCCTAGCGGCTAAAGTATGAGTATTCATGGTAGAAGTACTGGTACCCTGTGGTATCACGCCCTCTACGCAAGAACCTAAACCCTAAGTCCATAAACCCTGAACCCTAAACACCTCAGCCCCTCCATAAACCCAATCCCTGAACCACAATAAACCCTGCTAACCCTTGGCAGGCCCTCATGAAGCCCTTGAAACATTACTAGACCCAAGAGTAGCCTGGGGTGCCCTTTTTGGTTTCAAGGGGCTTATAAGGGAACCTGAACCCTGCAAAAAGGGAATAAGGGCCTACTCCAGGTCCTAGATTAAGAAACCAAATAAAGGCACAGTTCGATGCCCTAGTCACACCTGATACACCCTAAATCCAAAAGCCTAAACCTTAATGGAGCCTGTACAGAAGCCTGAACCCTTGTACTACAAGTCCCTCTTTGGGTCTCCAAATAATACGGCACCCTTCACAAAAAAAGGGACCGAAAACAGGTGCTCCAAATTACGCGAATTACCCCTAAACCCTAAACCCCCCTACACCCTAAACCCCTAAGCCCCCCCAAACCCTAAACCCCCTGAACCCCAAACCCTAAGCCCTAAACTGTCAAGGCAAGAGGCCCAGGAGGAGCTCAAGGTTCTCCTCCGTGGCTCTCAGGCCTAAGCGGCGAATTTTTCGAAACCCTGGATCCACGGGGTTTTTTCGGCCTTAGGATTCAGAGCTTGGGATGTAGGGTTTGGTGTTTAGTGTTTGGTGACCCCTGCAGGCTTTTGTTTGCGAAGCCTTAGTCCCCACGCCAAAACCAACAACCCCTCGATAGAACCTGAACCCTTCTAAACCGTACCCGAACTCTGGACCCCAAGCCCTTCAAAACCCTCCAAACCCTAACCCTAAACCCCCAAACTCCAAACGCAAGCCCCTTAAGACCCGAAACTCCCAAACCCTCAGCCCTTATAAAGCCCATATATACCCCAGCCCTTGTGGAGTTCTGCTAACTCCATGATAAGCCCTAGGAGCCAGCTTGTTTGAAGAGGCCGGCAGGACAGGCCCCGAAGTACTCCTGGCGAGAATCTTCGGTTTATCCAAAGGGGAAAAGGAGGGACCCGTAATTTAGGGCTGTTAGGGCTCCTTTAAAGGGATCTATAAGAGTTTAGGGTTTAGGGCTTAGGGGATAAGGAAGGACCCTTAATGGGGACCCCCACCCCTATACTGGGCTATATAATGGGTATATAATAGCTATCTTAAGGGTATATACCTCGGGGTCCTTATTACGGGTCCCTCCTTTTGCCCTTGGAGGTTTACAGGGCGCACAACTCATGCTGAGGATAAGCTCTTTGCGACATAAGGGCTTAGGCTCTGTGGTCTATGGATCAGGATACAGCCCATAAGAAACGAGGCTTTAGTGAGGGTTCAGCGCACCCTAAAACCTGAACTGGTTCTGTGGTCCAGGGGTTAGGGTTGAAGTCGTAGGTGGTCCGGTTGAAAAACTAGGCGTCGACGATAATGCTGAGGGTGGAAGTCGGAAATTGGAGGTTTGAGGCTTGGGCTCTGAGATTTCAGGGGCGTATGGCTTAATATAGAGGCCTCAATAACTATAATTAGAATAGGGTTTGTGGGCCCATTTTGCTACAATTACGCTAAGAACCCACCAACATAGTAGAGGTGCCTATTGAGGCCCCTATAGTGTGGCTTAAGGGTTGAAAATCTGCTTCGGAGCCGAGGGGCACCCCCTTTGGGGCTCAGAGTTTTTGTTCTCAGGTTTGGGGCTCAGGGCCTAGGGCTTACTGTAGGGTTTAGGGTTTGGGGAGTTTAGGGCTTAGGGGTGTGGGATTAGGGTTCAGGGTGTAGGGCAGTTGCAGGAACCTAGGGGTGTTTCTGTGTCCCCAAGAAGGAAAGACTCACCACAGTAAATCCCCCTAAATTCGAGGGTCAAGTTGACGCGAAGAAATACAAACTCCCATATCACAAAGCCTAACTTAATAATCCATCTCCCCCGAAACCCGAAATTTACGAGTCGCAAGCCTTTGCAGAAGAAAGTTGAACCGTCCTACACCTTTCGGCTTTGAGGGTTCGCGGGTTGGGGCCCTAAACCACCCTAAGCCCAAAACCCTAAAACCATCCATAAAGGAACCCTCAAAGGAACCTGTTAAAGGAACCAAAAGCCCACAGACGCAGAATTTGGGAGCGGCGGTTGAAGGTTCAGGGGTTTAGGGGTTTATGGTTCAGGGGTTTCGGGTTTACGGCTTTGGGTTTGGGTCTTGGGGCTTTGGGGGCTTAAGGTTTAAGGGGGTTTAGGGTCACAAACTTTAAGTTGCCCGGTCATCCCAATACCTGCAGGCCCGAAACCCCCCCAGGGTTTAGGGTGTAGGGTGTAGGGTTTTTTGGTTTAGGGTGTGCGGTTTGGGGTTTAGGCTTAGGGTTTAGAGAACCGTCCTCCAGTGAAAGGTGCGTTCGGTCAGGAAGCCTGAGACACACTTCCGCGCTTGACGCGGGTGGGCCGAAACTTCGGGCTTCAATCACTGGGTTCGGCTTAGGGATTAAGGATTAGGGTTTAGGGGTTTAGGGTTTAGGTTCTTGTTAAGGAAATAAGGATCCAAAAGGGCTCCTTTAAGGGGTCTATACGGGCTCCTGTCAGGGATCTATAAGGGTTCCTTCAAGGGATCTATAAGGGCTCCTTCAAGGGATCCCGGGAACCTTGTGATCTGTTATGACGCATCCCCAGAGACTCCAATACCCCTTAATTAAGGAATATACCTTAAATTATAGTAGGGACCCTAATATGATTTAAGGTATATTCCTTAATTAGGGGGTATTGGAGTCTCTGGGTCAGACACACAACATGTAATCCCGGGATTGGGGCTAGGCTTGAGGCTTCCCCCAGATCTGGCTCTCCGTCCTAAACCCTACTTAGAGGGTCATGGGACTTAGTAACTTTTTTTGCTAGGTTTTATAACTATGGTAGCTACACTTATGACTACTTATAATATGACCCCACTTATATAAGGTACTTATCACCATACTTACCAAGTCCCATGATCCTCCAAGTGGGCCCTAAACCTTACCCACAAACCCTAAATCCTACACCCCTAAACCCCCAAACCCTGAACCCCTAAGCCCCCAAACCCTAAGCCCCTAAACCCCTAAACCCTAAACCCTAAACCCTAAAACCCTAAGCCCCACCCTAGACCCTGAACGACTCCGAGCCACGAAGCCCATCACGGAGGGGCCTCCGGCCAGGCTCAACGACCTCCTCCTCAACGGGCTCGCTGGGCCTCGCACGTGGAATCTCGGGGTTTGGGTGTTTAGGGGGTTTGGGGGTTTAGGGGTTTAGGGGTTTAAGGGTTTAGGGGTTTAGGGGTTTAGGGGTTTAGGGGTTTAAGGGTTTAGGGGTTTAGGGGTTTAGGGGTTTATGGGTTTCGGCGGGTTATTCTTTAGGGGTTTAGCGCTTAGGGTTTAGGGGTTTAGGGCTTAGGGTTTAGGGGTTTTGGGTTTACTGTCCGGTTACCGCAAAACAAATAGAACAAAAGGGTACTACTGAGGAACCCAGGCGTGATCAAAACTTTGGGCCCTTTCGGGACAGTATCATAGTAAATTCTCTGGGGGACCGAAAATGAGCCCATAATTTTGACCAACCCCGTCCAACCTAAATCCTAAATCCTAAACCCCACTCTATACAATTGTGGATCCCAGTTCGGAACCCAAATGGCTGCTTTGAAAGCCACTTCCAGGGCTCCCGATTTGGGAGTTTCTGAAAATTAGGGGTACCGTATTTGGGGATCCTTATTCTAAGGATCCTACTATTTAGGGTACTATATTAGGGTCCCCTAATTTTCGGAAACTCCCGATTTGAATCTACGCGCAACTGAGCGCCTGGCTCGGACGGTGGCAGCTGGCTGGTTCCTCGCTGCTTCTTTGCCGCCTGTGCCGCGGAAACTACGTATTTCGCATAATGGTCCAAACATACCTATACTGTATATACCCCCGAAACCCATTCAAACAAATTCGGCCCTTGTGTAACCCTAGAATATCACCAAGAATCTGCCTCTCAAGCCCCGTAAAACCTTTTCCAAGCCCTCTTATGATTGTGACCCCCTGAACCCTTAACCCACTCCCCTAGCCCCAGCGGGCCTTCTTCTTCAGCTGAGCCTTTGCAGTCAAGAGCGTTTCGGGGCCAGGGGTTTCGGGCTTGGGGGTATAAGGGTTCAAAGTTCAGGGGTCCAAGGTTTGGGGTTTGGGGATTTAGGGATTTAGGGTTTCGGATTTGAGGGCTTAGACCCTAAACTGGGTTGTAGGGAGGGTTTAAAGTTACTGAGACGATGATGGGACGTAGTAACTAGTAAGTGGGTTGCAGGTACCTTGATGGGGCATACAAGCACTTAAACCTGTCGCTACTTGAAGGATCATGGGACTCGTAAGTAAGGTTATAAGTACCCTAGGATATAAGTAGTTCTAAGTATAGTTGCCTGAATTATAACCCTAGTTACTAAGTCCCATGATCCTCTAAGTAACCCCCTGACCAGGTATCACGACCCTTCGAGTAGATGCCTGAAGAATGAGACTAGGGCTTTGGGGCCTTCCCTACCAGAAGAGTCAACCCAAAACCCTGAGCCCTAAACCCTGAACCCTAAACCCCTGAAACCTGATCTCTAGACCCAGAGGGCGTTGGGTTTAAGGTTTATGCTGGTCCCCACATCTTTCATGGCCTGTTTCTGCTTCTGGCGGATCGTCTCCTGCTCATCCTGACGATAGTGTTCGGGTTTTTAAGTGTTTTTGACCGTTTATGCATTTACCGTTTATGGGACAGGGTGGAGAACCTCTGAATTTTTTTTTGTTGAGTTTTATTGTGTGGAGGGATGGTGAGATGAACTAGCAACTTAGGGAACGCTCCTTAATTGAGAGTATACACTTAAAGGCTCATGGGGCTTAGTTAGTAAGGCTATAGGTAGGTTATAATTAGGATAACCCCACTTAGGGGACTTATAACATACTTACTAAGTCCCCTCATCCTCCAAGCAGTGGGCTCTCATCCAACCCCGCCGTCTCCTGTGTCAAGCTGGCGAAGGCTGCAGGGCGAAGGGCAGCTGCCATGAGCCAAGGAGCCTACCCTGATCCTGGTTCTGGGGTTTAGGAGGCGTTTTTATGGTTCTACAAGGAGTTTTTAGGGGGTTCTGGGGTTTAGGAGGCTTGTACAGGGTTCTAGAACGAGTTTTTAAAGGGTTCTGCGAGGTTGCTTTTCGGGTTTTATGTTCTCCTACGGTAGAGCGTGGGCTTCAAAGGCTTCTCGTGTGCGGCTCGGCTTGCATGTGGGAGCAGCCGAAGGGCTTTTTCAATCTTCCGGGTTCAAAGTTTAGGGTTCAGGGTCTACCTGTGACCCCAAAGACCCTTGTTTTGGGGGAACTGTATATAAGGACCATAACAAGGAACAAGGTGGGTCTTTTCGGCCACAGGTTGGGTTTAAGTTAAGGTAAGCCAGGTGGACACAGGACGATCAAAACTCAACCCGACATTCAAAAGCAAAACACACCCCGAACCCTAAAATCTTAACCAACGAACGCGAGAAGCCCAACCTATGTAGCAATGTAGCCCTGTTTCCGAATCAACCCTCCATATGCTAGATCCCCACACCGGTGAAACTTACACCCTACAAGCCCAAACCCTAGACCAAACCCTTGCAAACACCTAGCGATGCCTTTAGAAAACATGTACAATCCAGATGAAACCCGGCCTGGACCCTTAACATGTAGTGCCGTTTATTGGATGACGTATTCTATGGTTAGAACCCTACAATAAGAAACCAAGGTAACCACAAAAAGCACTAATTGCATGCATATAAAGAGCGAGATATGGGAGTTTCCGAAAATCAGGGGTACCTTGTTTGAGGGTCCTTACAATAAGGATCCTACTATTTAGGGTACTATATTTATATGAGGGTCCCCTATTTTCGGAAACTCCCATATGAAACCAAAACATTATAACCCTAAACTCGAAAGCCACCCGGAGGATCCTCGCCGCATGTCTCGCTGAGCTCCTGACCTGCAAACCCATGTCCTTCCTTAGTCAGTGGGGGGGGCGCTTCGGCTTGCTTGCAGTGTATCATGACAATCATTGTGATTATGTTTTATCTTTACTATGATTGTTACGATTATGATTATATGATTATGACTAGTACTCGTCTTCTTATCAAGTGGAGTTTGCTTAGGGTTTTAAGATTTGGGAGTTTAGGGTATAGGGTTTCGGGTCTGAGGGTTTAGGGTGTTATTAAGGGCTTCTAACCGCTTCAGAGGGTGTATCGTGTAGGGTGAACCAGTGAGTTGTCACGCTCGTGCTGCAAGCACCCAGAACTGTGCATCCCCACCACTACAGCTCCGCCATTTGCTCGGCCTTTGTTGGCTGTGGTTCTGCTTTGGTTTTCTATGGCTTTGGATGCCAGCTGGCGAACACAAGGCATCAACGGCGCATGCTCCAGCACATGCATGTTTCGTGACCGTGTGCTTTCGTTTCATGTGCTTCGTTCGGGACTCGAAACCCTTAACCCTAAACCCCAGAACCGCTAGACCCCAAACCTCTGGGCCCCAAACCCTGAACTAGTTTTGTGACGCGGGGTGGCTGTCACACAGTGAACCATTTCGTGTCCCAGGAGAACCCACCATCGATTCAACCCAGGATGAAAGGATTAAGCCGGTTTAGGCTTCGTTGTTGAAAGGTTTAGGGCCGTTTAGGGTAACCTCCTGCACCATAACGGCTACCACAAGCGAGCAGTGTGGGTATGATGGGGCCCGAGCATGCACAAGAACTGACCCTAGCTACAATATTCAAACCTGTAAAGCTCGATAAACCTGGAAAACCTCAACAAAGAGGAATGAGTAAAACCCTGTAACACCGAGAACCGTGCAAGAACCCCTACAACACCTCTACCCAGCCCCGTTTCCGGGAGACGGCACAGCTTGACAACTTACTCGAGCCAGCTCTGTCACACCAGCAGCATGCAACAAAAAGCCCACATTTCTGCAAGGTTTCTGCCCTAAAACCCTTAACCCTTTAAAGGGATCCTAAAAATCCCTTAGAGGAACCCGAAACCCTAAACCCGAAAGCCCCAAACTCAGGACTCGGAACCCAGACACCTACGGCCCGATTCCTCTAAAGCTCAATAAACACCTCAAACAACAAATCTCGGAGCGATCAAGACCCAGAGCCTCCAAAACCCCTTAACTAAGGAATATACCTTAAATCATATTATGGATCCTACTATGCTTTAAGGTATATTCCTTAATTAAGGGGTATTAGAATCGCCTAAACCCTAAACCCTATAGATCCCTTTAAGGATCCCTTTAAAGGAACCCTAAGGAATATACTATCCAGCTAAGCCGCAGGATGACCAGCATGTTTGTGATCACCGTGTTCGGGTCATCAAACTCATCCCAATCTGCCTGTCAGAGCACTACGTTTGGGGTTTGGGGTTTGGGGCTTCAGGGTTTAGGGGTTTACTGTAGGGTGCTATGGTTTAGGGTTTAGGGTTTCATAGTAACCGCACTCTCTAGAGTAGCATCCTCGATTATCCTGATCTGCAATCTCATATGAGACCTCACCATGTTCTGGATGCGGGGCCGGAGGCGCCTTCATGTTCAGGATGCTCATTGCCCACACGACCAACCTCACAGATCGGTATCAAGGTCCACCCTACACCCTAAACGCAAAGCCCGAACCACCTCACAGCGATCTGCTTGGGCCGGCACTGCGTGAAGTACTTGAACTGGTGTGCAGGGTTCTGCGCTGGATACCTGGCCATCTCATTACCGAGAAGACTGTCAAAGCTAGAGCTGCAACTGATACCAAAACATCAGCACCAGCAACAGCAGCAGCAACGCCAACAGAAGCAGCAGCAGCAGCAGGAGGAGCAGCGGCGGTAGCAACAACACTACCACCATCAGCAGCATGACCATCAGAATCGTCACCGTCACCTGTCATCAGCGCCATCAGAATTGCCATCAGCATCATCGAAAGCCTCAGCATCAATGCTACCTCCGTGAACATCTTGGTTAACTGATTTTACTCGTCATCACCACGACTAGTGAGTGTTAAAACCCTAAACCCTAAACTCTATAGATACTTTAGTACCCTTGTGGGTCTCTTACAGGAACCCTTTAAGGAGTCCCAAGATAAACTCTTAAACCCTAAAACCCAAACCCCAAACCCTAAACCCCAAACCCCAACCCCCAAACCCTAAACCCTAAACCCTCAACCCCAGGCGTCTCGGCTCTAGTGTAGTTTCCCGACTGGGTCCACTAGCCGACGTACCCCCGTGTGGCCCTCTGGCGAGCCAATAGGCATTGAGGAGGGGCCCACTCTACTTGCACCACGAGCACCACGCGCCCTTCCCTGATTGCTGCAGTTTAATCTGCCAATTTTGGTGTTGGGCGACGCATACTTGTGTATGCGCTGCGACCTCGTGAAGAGCTTCGCTTGGTTTTCCATCCTGGTGCATCAATTTTGTTGGGGTGTGAAGGGTGACCTCGACACCGTCTCCAACCATTCCTCCCCGGACCCGTCGACTTCGTTTTCAAGAAGCTGCGTGGCACAGGCGGGCGAGGAAAAGGCGTACTGTGGGACGAACAGTACTGCGAACCTGGCTGGCGGGTGTTCCGACCGAGCTGGACTACGTACAGAAAGCGCTACAGGCGCTAGAGACCCACCACACGCGAAGTGTGTTGGTACAACAGGCGTACAGACGCCTGCGTCGAGAAGAGATGACGCAACCATGGCGATGTATGTGCGGGGCTATGTGCAAGGCCTCCGCGCAGTACTGCCAAAGCTGTGGCAGCCACTGGAAGAAATCTACGTACGCCGGTGGCCAGCAGCCTACCCGACCGAGACAACCGGCTTGGGGACAGCCGGACCAAGGCGGAGGAGGAGGAAAATCTCCCAGAAGCCGGGGCAAAGGACAGGATCCATGGAACGGGAAAGGCCATGGCAACCGACCTCGCTCCCCGCGACAAAGGGGCAAGGGACAGGGCAAAGATACCAGCGCGGCACCATCGGTGCCTCCCACAGCGGAGACAGCTGGCATACAATTGCCGGTGGCAAGCAAAAGCCAGCTCCTCAAGGAGCTACCGCAAGCCCCGAATGTCCCCAAGCCTGCCGTCCCCGGCGCAGCGGCAAGTTCCGAGGGGCAAGATCGCCTACCACAAGGAGTGCAGGATCTTCTACAAGCACTGGCGTCCAAGAAGGACTCCCTGCCGGACGAGGTCAAGGAGCTACTGGAAACTCAGGTGGACATGGACCATCGACAACAGGCGCGACAACTACACCGCCTGGTACACCAGCAGGGACAAGCTCGCAAAGAACTTGCGGGGGTCCAGCGGGCCCGCAGTGCATTTGTGGCAGAATGGAGTGCCTACCTGAAGCAGTTGACAGAGCTCTTACAAACTCAACTGGCTCAGAAAAACGAGGCTATGCAACAGATGGCTGTTTCCGAGGAGAAATGGCAGGAAGTGCTGCAATCGACCTCGAAGGCCCTACAGCGACAGTCTGGAGTGCCTGCAAGCACGGTGGAAGTTTCCTCGGAGGAAGAAATGGCGGTGGACGATGCGGCTGCGACGGAGGCAAGCCGCGCCCTAGCGGTAGAGCGCAGCCTGCAACAGGAGACGGCGCTTATGGACGCGCTGGGGGCAGCCGCAGCAGCGGCCTCAGTGCAGGAGGAGGAGTACCGAGAGCGTACGCCTCGACGCCGCCGAGAGAGCAAGCCGCCCAGCAAGGAGGAGATCGATGCCACCATGGCGGCAGGAGGCGGCAACACAGCAATCAAGGAAGAGCAGCACGACAAAGGCGACGGAGAAAGGCCGCCTTTTCGTGGGGCTCAGTAGGATGCCACTTGGACCTTACTGAGCCGATAGCACATTCCCACGGATCGTATACTTCGGTCTGTGGTGAGCACAATTTTGTTGGCAGATGGTGGGCGGCAGCTTTGGCACTTTGCTTGCAATCGGAAGTGTCTCTGCTCTCACTGGACATGCCAGTCTGCTCGCGCGTTTTCGAGATCGAGCGATCGGACGAAGCCGCTGGGGCGACGGAGGCCACATCACCTTGGTCGC